ACTTTAATATGAGAATAAAAGACTTAACAGAGAATATAAGACAATTAAAAGCCGATAAAGAACAATTAGAAACGGAAAACTCCCAATTGAAGTTAGAATTAGGACTGCTTAAAGGAACAGAATTATCGACTCTTGCGACCAAATTAGCCAAAGTTAGGGGCAAATCCAAGGCCCGGAAGGCCCAACTTGGAGATTTAGATTCTAAACTAAAACAAACAGAGTTAACTATCCTTAGTTTAGGAAGGGATAATGAACACCTGATAGAAGTCAAAAAATCCTTAGAAACAAAAGTAAATGAATTGACTAAGGTTTTAGAACAAGATTCTGATAATTTAGAGCAACAAAAAACTAATTACTGAGAAGCACAAACCAAAATTAGCGAACTCGAAGAACTACTAGCCAAAAAGCAAGAAGAATGTGATAAATCTAATGAAATCAAGCAAACTGAATGAAATGAATTGAATGCTAAATTAACTGAACTTAAAGAGAAAGTGGGAAAGGGAGAAATAATAATAAAAGGTCTAGAAGCCGACAAATTAGAACTGGAGGCCAAATTAGAGACGGCCGAAAAACAAATTAGCGAACTAACCGAAGTTAAATCAGAACTAGAAACTAAACTTGACCAGGAAAAAGACCACTTGAACGATTTAAATTCAGACGAGGAGACCAAACAAGAAACTATTAAACAACAATTAACCAAAATAGAGGAATTGGAGAAGCAGAAAAAAATAATTGAAGGCACCCTGGAAAAAACTAGTCAAGAAAGCCAAACTCTCCAAAAACAATTAGACGAAAAAACTAGAGAATTAAAAGAAGTAAAAGACAAATTAGCACAAAAGGAAGCAGAAATTAAAAAAATAAAAGAGGGAGAATTGGCCGATTTGGAAAACAAGATTGAGATTTTAAGAAGTGAAGAACTTAATGAGACTGAAAAGAAAGTAATTGCCTATATTGGCACTTTAGTTAACTATTTTAATTCTGATCTGATTGATTCCGTCTCCAAAACTGAATCTTGACTTAGTTACGACACCAATTTAAAGGACTTATTGAAATTATGAGATCCGGGCAAAACTCCTAATTTAAAAGGTTGAGAATGGGAAAATGCTAATGACTTTTGTAAGCATTGTTGCGATTTTTTTAACAACACCCGCCAAGTAATAATTGAAAGAAATAGCCTCAAACAAGAATTATCCTCTTCTCCCACTAGTATCGAAAAATTAGAAAAAACAATTGCCGAATTCAAAACCCAATGTGAAGAAACTAATCAATTGTTAGAAATTGCTAACAATGAGAAGTCTATTCTGGAAAATCAGCAAGCAGAATTTAAGAAAAATATGGGGGATTTAACTGATAAAATTGTCGGTCTAGAAAAATTGTTGGAGGATAAAAATGCTTATCTAAATAAGTTAGAAAGTGAAAAAAAACTTCTCCAAGAAGAGAAAGAGAAAAAAGAACGGGAGTTGAAAGAAAAAGAAGATTGATGACAAAAAGATAAGGACACTCAACAAAAATCTATTAAAGATTTAGAGGATAAAGTAAATAAATTGGATAGTGGTCAGTTCACTGAGGAGGAAAAGAAAGTAGCAAGCAAAATGAAAGAATTGATTATTAAATTAGGAACTTTTAACCAGACCGATTTTACCCCTTCTTTAAATTTATTGAAATCAGAAAAACAATTAATCAATTATCCTAATTTGACTGATCTTCCTTTTCAATTAAGAAATTTGGGTGAAACTATTGACTGTCAGATTAGTAATTTCAATAAAGAAAAAAAACATTTAGAAAATATTATTGCTAAAAAAGATGCTGAAATAAAAACTAATACTAGCAACCGACAAGCAGAAAAGAGTAAATTAAATGGGCAAATTAGCACGCTTAATTCACAAGTAAGCAATTTGAGGAGTGAGGCTAATCGGGCGAGTGGTTTACAAAGTCAGGTTTATTCTCTCCAATCCCAATTAAGTTCCCTAAGAAGTAAGAGTGTGGATAATCAAACACAGTGCGAAATAGATATTGTAAAAAGATTTACGATAATCGAAAGTGATAGAGGTAATTATTACAGAAAGTTTTTGTTGTTTAACGGTCATGCTGCTTTTGATATTGGCGACCGTAATTATTCTGCTAATCTTAACAAGGTCAATGTTGAATTTTCGAGAAAAAAAGCAATAATTCTAAAACATTTAGAAGAACATTCCATAGATAATCGAAAGTAAGTGTATTTTTAGGTATTTTTCACTCTTAATTAACTATCAGCCTTAGAATTGATAATATACGCACTTCCTTTTCAAGTTACATAGGAAGTGACAGAAGCAACCCAAACATTGGCTCTTGAAAAATTTCCATGTGTCACTTCAATTATATCGTTGTTAATAATATGACTACGGCCAGAGTTTCTACAAGTAAATGATTTTTTTTCATTACCATTAAAATGAAAAAAACTAAGAAACTGGACGAAATCAGTTTTACTATAATTATCCACACTCTTACTTCTTAGGGAACTTAATTGGGATTGGAAAAAGCCAATATGATATTTAAATTACTAAAATCATTATATAGATAGTGATTGGCTAAGAAGCCAATATATTCATAAATTAAAAATCAAAAAAAATGCTGGCAATGAATAAAAGTAAAAAAAACGGAATAAGTTCTGATCTTATCAATGCAAAAAGAGAGGAATTGAAAAATTTAAACATCGAACCGGTATCAGTGGCCAAATTTTTTTACGAAAAAGGAGCCAAAAATATTGCTCTTATTCAAAGATTAATCTACTTGGCTTTTTTGAAAGTCCTCCAAGAAAAGAATATTTTACTTTTTGCCGAAGAATGACAAGCTTGATCGGGAGGTCCGGTAATAGAAAGTGTTTTTCGACCAATGTCCGATCATCTCGATAAATATAATTGCAATTATGAGAAGTTATTTGCTAACTTTCCTCGATTAAAGAATAAAGAAGTCTTCCCAACTCTGGAAGAAGTGTACAATGAATACCAAAATTACAAAAAAGATAGAAAAGAGTTTGTGTTTTTTGATAAAGTTCTTGGTAAGCCTTGGCAACTAGCTCGCTGTGGATTAACTGATGAATTAGATCATCAAAAAATAAAACTGGGCGATATTGTCGACTGCATTAATCAAGAAAAACTTCAAAAAGAAACAGCAAAAGCCAATAAAATTTTTCCTTTTTTGTGTATGCCAAGGCAAAAATTAAGTGAATATGGACACTATGGATAAAAAAAGTAGTTACGAATGTGTACTTTGTAGCCGGGATCTAACTAAAGATTTGGGCCTTGAAGAAGAAGCAGATTATCCAATTTATCATAATCAATTAATCAAAAAAAAAAAACCTTTGGTAGCTTTTTTGATTTGCATTGATTGCATGACTAATGGGATTTTTCCCGATGAATACGATATTGAATATATTCGAAAGGGGTGGAATAAGGGAGGTTTTTTATGAAATAATTACCGAAAGGCGACTTCTGAAGTTATATTGTTAGGTTTACTTTTCGATAGGGTAGCAGATGGCAGGATTAAAATTGGACTCAATAAGCAAAAAGAACTTTGTTTATCTTGTGAATGAAAAGGAAAACGCTTAGTAGTAAATTTGAATGAGTTAAAGTCGCGACAAGAAAAGAACGAAGAACAATAAATGTTTATGCCTAACATCAACACTGACCATCACTATTTGAACCATAAAAAAAATCCTCTTTGTATTCACAAGCGAGATTTCACAAATGCCATTTATACCAATGAAACTGAACTTTTTAAATTTTCTCTCTTACAAACCCAGTTTAAGAGTTGAGAGGACATTATGAGGAGTAGCCATTGCCATCCAATAGAAGATGATAATGACAAAAAGAGAATCAAAGACTACCTTGGTCTAAGTAAGAAGCAGTTTAATAATCTAAAAATTGAACCTGCAATTTGTCAAATACCTATTGGGCAAAAATTTAGAGCATTTGTTGTTTTTAGAAAAAAGCAACTTTATCTTCTCTTTTTCGATCCCAACCATCACTTTTTCCCCAATAAATTTGAATACCCTCAAGGAGATAATGCTATTTGTCTGATAAAATGCCTAACAAAAAAAGGAAATTGCTCAAAGTTTTACGAATGTCATCCCTTGCCTGAAAAGGAACGTAGAAGACTAATAAGCAAAAGAGAAAGAGAGAAAAAGTAAGAGGTGCAAAAGAATCAGAAGTTAATTGGATGATAATTGTTTATCCGGCAGGGTTAAAATATTTTTAAACGATTATAACGCAATTACTTTAAAATTATTTAACCTAACCTTGCCAAGAAGTCTCCTTGTTCTTAACTAGGGGATGAATTGGCAAAAAGAGTAAAATTATAATATAGCCACTGGAACCGAAAGGGAAAGTGGGTCAAAAGACAGAACTATCCTACAAGGATAAGGAAACTTATTCTACTCGTAGAGTTCTTGGTAAATGTTCTTGTTCTCCACACGACAAAGTTGAGAAAGCTGGTTAAATCATAATGAGTTCGCAAGAACACTCGAAAGAGAAAGGGTCGGTTCGACCCTTCGGGGAGACTAGGTGATAGCCTTGTCAGAGAACCGAGAAGCTCCCACCTCTAATCAGGTGGGGTAGTTCACTGGAAGAAGACCCCACCAATAAACAATGGTGAAGAAAATATAGAGACGATATTATTGTTTGAACTGGTATTTTGACTTTAATTGTTTCAATAGTTCAGTTAGCTTTTAGTGTTTGTTATAGAAAGCAAAAAAAGATAAGTTAAAGTAAAGTTTTTTAGTTAACTACTGAAATCCTTTCTAATGGCTGACTAGGAAAAACTTTTTTTACTTGAAAATCAAAAATTATTTGGTCATATAAAGGAACCGGTCT